GAGTGTCGGTCTAGGATCTGGGAGACCCAGGTTTGAATCCTGGGGCCCACTCCCTTAATGGGGCCACCGCCAAGCTAGCTGCTGCCTGAGCCTCGGAGGGTGGCCTTCAGCCCATGGGACTCGCAAATTGCAAAGCTTCCCTATTTGGTTGGGAGCCTTGCAAAGCTATCACTATTTTTTCCACTTTGGGGGATGCTCTGCTTCTAGTGCAGATGCACACAAATGCCGCACTTCCTTCCTTCCTTCGCATGCCAACTGAGAGGACCAGAAGGACAGAGAGGCCACGTCACTCAGTGGTGGTCAGGTCTCTTCCATGGCTCTAATCCTTTGCTCAGTCCCCTGGTGCTATACTTGCACTTCGTGTCCCCAGCTCTCTTGGTTTACTGTTCACCATCCCGGCCATGACACTTTGGCTTGCTTTTTTCCTGTCATGTGACCAGTGTGACTGTGACTATGACATGTGACATGACTGTGATGTCATGTGCTTGCAGTTTAGTGAGCTCCATGCTGTCGCCTCGGCATTAAACCTTTTCTGGGTATGGGAAGGTTGGGGGGCTCAAAAGAGCAGGGCAGTCACATTTTTGATAAGGGAAAGGGGGAAGAATTAAACTTCCCTTTCCCCAGCACTGGGGCCACCATCCAGATTAGGTGGCACCTCAGTTGCTTCTTAGGTCCAAATACTCCTGGAGTTCCAGTCATGGAATTCCAGCATCACCTGCAGTTTGGCCCCCAGCCCTTCATTTCCTGGGTGGCCTCAGCCAAGCATCATTTTTAAATCCTTCTATTTAATTATATTGATCATAATCACTGTGGCCTAATTTACAGAAGTGTTATTGCAGGGATTATTAATAGATGTTTGGTACAAATGTACATAAAAGGCCACCCTTATTTTTTATTCTGTAATTGGTGAACCTGGCAGTGTTTCCATGGAGCCAAAATTACTTGCATATCAGGAACCAGTGTGGAGAGAACCAAAAGTCTTTATATTTGCATACTGTTGTCCTGGATGGTAAGCTACTAGCGCTGCAAAGCAGAGCTTTCTCTAAACTGTTTTGTTACCCACCAAAGCAGACCATTGGTCACACACATGTACGTCAAGCTGCCTTATACTGAATTAAACCATTGACCCAGTTTTGTCTACTCAGGCCCCGGTCACACGGGCCGGATATCGTGGGGGGGAGGCGTGGCTGTTTGCCCCAGGGCAAAATAACATGCGGTTGCGCCAGCAGATGTACCGTGGAGGTCCCGTGGAAGGGGGGAGGTGCCGAGCACACCACAATCCTGCGCCGCGGCAAAGAAGCGGCGTGGCAAACGGGTGTTTTGTTTTCCGGACACCAAAGTGTGCGCATACCCCGTTGGGTGCTTGTGCGCATCCCATGGACAGTTTAAAAAAAAACACCTTTATACGAGGGGGCATGGGCGGGCGCCGGAAGTACCACCGGAAACGTGATCAGACGCCCACCCTTGCCCCGCAGTTACCGGAAACTAGTACCTCCGAGGTACTAGTTTTTAACCACGCGTCTTCAGCGGGAAGCCTCAGGTTCGCCACGGGAGCTCTACGCTTCCCAGATGTGGCGGTGAGATCGCGCCCGGAAAATCCGCCTGTCTTCCGTCTCTCTAGCGTGCCTAATGCTCCGTGTGACCACAGCCTCAGTCTGGCTGTAGTTCTCCAGGATTTCAGCAGATGTCTTTCACATCACCTTCTACATGATCCTTTTAACTGTGATGCTGGGGATTGAATCTGGGACCTTCTGCATACCAAGCAGATTCTCTACCACTGAGCCACAGCCCCTCCTCTAAATCAGGGGGTACCTGAACTTAATCTGGTGACCTCTTGATCTGCAGTCAGATCCTCTACCACTGAGCTATACTCTCACATTGCCTCTTACTGGAAAGGTTATAAAACTTTCTAGAACAAACTGGCACTTTTTGCTGGGCTATAATAGTTTGTACTGCACCTGGTTCCTCCCCATTCAGTCACTAAAGCCAAGCATTAACTACACACTAACTACACCTCCACAAATTCATGCCACCTCGATCACTTTCCTCTTTTTTAAATTTTGGCCCACACATCGTTTGGGTGACCAACTCATGTCACGGAAAGTAAAGATTTGTGGATGGGAACTGGAGGGTGGGTAGAACCAGGTTTACATATGGCTGCTTTTCCCACACGATGCCACTTCTGAGCTCATTAGGCTATGGGTAGAACTGCCCCCAACATCATAGAGAGGGGGAAGAACTGTTCATCACAGAAAGCAAGGCTTTGTGGCTGGGAACTGGAGGGTGGGCAGAGTCAGGTTTACACATGACTGCTTCTCCGACATGATGCCACTTCTGAGTTCAGTAGGCTATGGGCAAAACTGCCCCCACATCATACAGGGGGAAGAACTGTGGCGTTATCACATTATGTTCCCAGCCACCTTCCTAAAGGCTGAAGGCCTTCATTAAACAAAGCACTTGCCTATTTAAAAAAGAAGTATAATTATATCTTCTTGGTGTGACAAGAAAGGTGATGAACTTGTCAGTCAATACACTTATTACTATATGCAGAGGTTAGGCAAACATATGACAGAACAAGAAGTCAGAACTAGTGTTACTGGTGTTTGTTTCATACTCAGATGGGGGTATAGCTCAGTGGTAGAGCATTTGACTGCAGATCAAGAGGTCTCTGGTTCAAGTCCAGGTGCCCCCTCATTTTCTTTCTTTCAATATTTTTTTTTTAAATCCCCCCCTTTTATTTGTATTTTTATCCTTGCCTCTCACAAGGAGAACATGTACACTACGTGTTAACCTGTCTGTAAGTGGCAATATCAAAATTTTCTCATACTGCTCTCGTAAGTCTTCTGCTTTGGGTCTCAGTGAGAAAGGCATTAGTTAATTAAAATCTAGCACTGAACAGTACTGGAAGGGTTTGATTCCCCACTCCTCCACATGCAGCCAGCTAGGTGACCTTGGGTCAGTCACAGTTCTCTCTGAACTCTCAGCCCCACCTACTTCACAGGGTGTCTGTTGTGGGGAGAGAAAGGGGACTGTAAACCACTCTGAGACTCCGAGTGAAGGACAGGGTATAAATCCAACTCTTCTTCAGTTTATAGTAAGCCAGTGGGCTGAGGCACAGCACTGGAATAAGATGCTTCTTATGAATTTCCATGTTCTGCACTAGCTGAAGCATTTGAAGTCTTTGACAGATGTACCCAGATAAACAGATGGCAGTTGTGACCAGGAGTGCCCTTTACCGGCTTCAGTTGGTTAGGCAACTGCAGCCTTTCCTGAGTGGAAAAGATCTGGCCACTGTTGTGCATGCCCTAGTTACATCTAGATTACTCTAATGGGCTCTTATGTTGGGCTACCTCTGTAAAGCATTCAGAAACATTAATAGGCACTGAATGCTGCAGCCAGGATGTTGACTGGAGTGGGTCATAGAATGGTCCATCTGTACTGGCTCACAATTTTGTCTCTGGGCACAATTCAAGGTGCTAGTCTCCAAAGCCCTATATGGTTTGGGACCAATATACCTGGAGATCTGCCTGCTCCCTTAAGAAACTGCCTGACCAAAGCTCTGGAACTCTGTCCCCAGGGAGGCCTGTCAATCCCCTTCTGTTGTCATCTTCTGCCAGAGGTGAAGACTTTGTTTCATTTGGCATTCCCTCCGTGATTCTCCTTCCTGAGCAAAGTTTTAATTGTTGTTTTTATGTCTTTGAACATACGTTAACCGTTATGTATTTGTGTTAATAATGTGTGTAGGGGGTGATTTTAATGTTTTTAAGATGTTATTTTTTATCATGTATGTTTTAAATTGTAAACCACCTTGGTGGCCTTTCTGAGGGCAGAAATGTGTAAATAAAATAATAAATAATAATTTTGAAAAACATCTCTAATTGTATTCTGGAAGTTTGTTTGAATGTTAAGTAAGAGTCAACTTACAACTGTAGAGATAAAACCATGCTTGAAAGCAAATTTTGAATCCCGCAGTTAGGGAAAAGGTGGGCATGGCTGAAGCAGAGAGTGACAGGGGCTGCTGATTCAACGTTATCTGGTGATCTGTGATCATCTTTTTGGGGCCACCCTATTTGCAGTATATGAATACAGTATGTTGGTTCTACTTTATTAGGCTGCTTTTTCCAGGTTCACTTGTGTTCCAAGCTTCCAACCCAAACTCCAGTGATCCCCTGCTCTCAAGTACGACTGTGTTCTACTGCCCCCTCGAGCACAGCCAAGCTCACCCACTGCTGTCCTCTGCATGTTCTGCTACTGCAGCTCCTCATGGCCAACCAGTGATTGCTCTGCAGTAATGGTGCTTTGCTGCTCCTTGTATAAATGTCCAGATCCGGTGATGCCATATGCACTTCACTGCTTCTCACACCAGTTCTGCGTTCCCTTTCATCCCCTCCTGTCCACTTAAACTTCCAAGAGTTTTGCACTAGGTGAGTCCTGCTGCTGCTCATCCTAGCCAACCCACATCTCTCTTCAGTGTGTCTCTGCCATCATACCCAGCTGTACACTCCACTGACTCTCATGTCAAGCCACTGTCCTTCATCGTTCTCTATTGCCCCTCTACTCCTATGAGCTTTATGAAAATCTTTATGAAGAAGGATCCACCTCTCAATCCTCCCTGGAGCCAACGTCTAGAATTGTTAAGACAGGAAATAGCACAAAGACACAAAAGAGGAACGAGATGGACTTCTGCTAAAGATTGAAAAGACCCATTTACCCCTGCAGCCGCTCTATCCCCTTTCCACCCTCCTTTCACGTTGTTAGCATGGGAAAGGGGAAATCAGCATTAGTCCGGAAACATTCATAAGCGTGTTTGGGTGTTTTTTTAACCATCTCTATGCTCAAGCATGAGCTCTTCCCCTTATGCCTAACAAAGCACAGCAAAAGCGGAAAAAAAGCCCTCTCCGTCTGCACGGTCCACTCGGCTTCCCTCCCCCTGGTCCTCCAGCGAGACCTGCACGGGATCCTCGGCTTGCGTCATCTCCGGCGCGCGCCGGCCCGGGACCCGGAAGCAGGGGATGGCTGAGGTGTCGCTTTGCACCCGGCCGGTATGTGACCTGGCGAAGCAGGAGAGAAACGGGTAAAAAAAAAAGGGGGGGGGGGGGGGGTACACTTGCCCTGATTCTTGGGCGTCGAGGTGCCTTTGGGGAAGCTGGGTAGATCCGAGCTCGCGGCGTGTGGGGGGAGGGTCTTTCTGAGGCGAAAGGGGCCACTTGCTGGCTCTGCGCTTGAAGGCCTGGCCCGTCTCAGGGGCGCCGACCCCGGCCTCCCCCCGTCAGAGGCTCTTGATAAAGACGTGACTGTGTGAGGCAAACGGTGCCCGCTGTCGTCGCCGCCGCAGGAGCATCCTGCGCTTGAAGCCTCTTTGCCCTTGCACCAGCTCCCGCAACTTCTCCTTTTAATGGCAGGTTCATCTGCACCCGTTAAACAATGGTTATATTGGCCTCCTTGGTGGAGGGGATTCGATCTGGCTTTGTGAGTAGGCTGTAGTGGCAAACTTACACGTGCCTTCGGTCAGATATGGACTAGGAGAAGGAGCAGCTCTAGTGTATGTACCGGAACGGAACTAAAAAGAATCTGAAAGATTCCCCATGAGGAAGCTGCATGTGAAACACATAGGGGTTGTATAATTATTCAAGGTTCTGTTTCCCTCCACAACAATTTGTTTCCTCATCTTCAGATATGAAACAGGAAAAGGAGCGGTTCTATACATCATTCCTGAGCCAGTGTTTCCAATATACTAAAACTGACATCATGGCACAGCATGGTGCTGGGCTTTTAGAATTGCCCTGTCAAGTGATTAATAACTTGCTGTTTAAAACCCTTATGCTTGTGAGAGATAAAATATACATAGATTTATTGCTTACATTGAGATATTTTGTTTTTCTGTTCTCATTAGTATAGTTAGAAGACTGAAGAATTAGTATGTCAATGGTCGCATATAGGTTTAATATATAAGGATCTGTTTTGGAATTACTGTAGTGAAAGTAATGGTTTGTGGCATATGAAAATCTACATTTGTATTATACAATCTACTTCCATTATGGTAGTATTGAGTTCCTGCTACATAAAAGAATCTTGGGTAGATGAGCTGGGAAATACCTGAGACTGTGGCCCAATTCTGATTGAGGTAATGTACCTTTGTTGGGATTGCACCACTCTTGCAGGTAGATGGCTAACATGGTTGAATGTTTCTCGATACAAAAAAAGTTTTCTCTATATAGAGAACTAGTAGATCAGGGAGAAAGCTAAGCTAGAGTTTCTCACTGATATCTGGTTTTCTATACAAGAAATGGAGAGGGGGATGGTATGAAAGAGCATTCAACCATGTGAATTCTTCATCTGCAGTTGAGTCTGGTGAGAACAAGGCCATGCCACTTGTTAATGTTCATCATATCCCATTTTAGCTAACTGTTTTCTTCCATCGTATGTTTTCTGTTTAGTTCATACATAATATGGTTTCCTTTGGAACTGTTCAGGAATGCAGTGTGTGTTGAACAGCTCCTGTATTCCACCCAGAAGTCACTACATTTCAGTGGTAAGTGATCACTGTTTATGTGTTGCTTGTCTAATTTGGGCCACAAGCTCCAGCAGGTGCTCAAAAGTTTTATAGACAAAATCCCTAAATTCCCAGAGCATATCAAACTGCAAGTTCTGTGTGGGTAAAGTATTCAGTATTAATTCAGATAAGGCAGTCTTTATGAATACATCCAAGTTCATTAAGTTTTCTGTGTTTGATTGTAGCTGCTTTGGTTAGTTACTAGCAGAATGCCTGCACTATGAGGGGACTATATGAAAATATGGCTTTTGTATAGCAAGGTACCTTCCTCCTGTGAGATCCGTCAGTGAGGTCTGAACAACCTAGAGTTAAGTGTTGAGGCAGATTTCAAACATACAACAGTGTCCACTTGTGCCATGCTTTGTAGTGGTTAGAGTGGTTGGACTAGGATCTGGAACTCAGGTTTGAATCCCCACTCTGCCACAGAAGCGCACTGGGTGACCTTGGGCTAGTCTAGAGATCTGAAGGCCCGAAAAACGGAAATATTGGGGGGGAAACAATTTTTTTCCGTTTTTTTCCTGAAGCCTTTTTTGTTTTTTTCTGAAAAATTTGAAAAATTGAAAAAAGAAAAGAAAAAAAATTGATTATGGAACGTTTTATTTTAACATGATGACTAAAAAATTTTAAGACAAAGTGTTCAAATATTTTCCAAATCATTTCTAATATGTATATATATATATGGTATCAGATTGATCTAAATTCTGTGCACTGAGGACAAGCAAGTCCTAGGTTACAAACTGAACTCTCCAATGCAAGAACAAGATGCATTTCTTCCTTTAGGAGGTGCTATTGTCAGAAGAAAAGAAAAAGGTTTCAGTTTTGTTTTTGCATGTGGGTGGGTATTCTGTTTGTAATAATTGTTTGGATACACTATATTTTTAATATGATAATTGTGATAATTTCATGCCAAGTAAAAATGTCCATAGTCATATTTTCTGTTCCTAAAGTAACAGAATGACTTTCAATCTAGAAAAGACAAAAGAAATGCTAATGTAGCATTTTTTTCAATTTTTCCGGAAATTTCCGTTTCCCCCCGAAAAAAACTGGGGTTTTTTCCAAGCTTCAAAATTTCCGGAAATTTTACATCTCTAGGCTAGTCACACATTCCCAGTCTGGCTTACTCCATAGGGTTATTGTGAGGATAAAACGGAGCAGAGGATAATGATGTAAGCTACTTTGGTTCCCCACTGGGGAGAAAGGCAAAATATAAATGAAGTAAATGAAAAAGCAAAGTGAAATATTCCAGGATAGAGGTATACCTGCTCCTACTGTCTGTGGTAAGGTTGAGTTTTTTGATCACACAAGAATGGGGTGTGTTGTCGGGAACTGGGCTTTTAGAAATGTTTATTCACAACAGTCCTGTGAAGGTAAGGTAGGCTGAGAGAAACTGACTGAATCAGCATCTTCCAGGTTAAGTTCAACTGTACTATGTTGAACAACACACTGTTTCTCCAGTGTGACTTTTAAAGAATAGGCTGTTCTGCAACATGCACTCCAAGACAGCTAATGTAGAGATGGGAAGGCCTGAAACTTTTTTCTTTCATTTTTTTCCACGGATGTTTTTTTATTTGTCCCCAGCAGTGGGAACACTGAAAAATGAGGGCATTGAAAAAAATGTATAAATGAATTAATGAAATGCTTTTTCAAGCAAGGTTTTTAAGCACCGAGGAAAGATAATTTTTTTTTGTCTTTCAATTTTTCTGCAGTGAAAAAATTGGGAAATTTGGAGGAGCACTGAAAAAATTACTAGGATTTAGTTTTTTTTCTTTGGAATGAGTGAAATGCTTTTAAAGACAAGGTTTTGCTTACTGTATAGCATTCATTTTTCCATTAGAAAAATTGGGTAATCAAGACAATTTAGGGAGCACTGAAAAAAAAGTGAAATGAGTGAAGTGCTTTTAAAGACGAAGTTTTATTTGCTCACAATATACAGCATGAAAAACTGTTAAGTACTTTTTTTCCAGTGGAAATTTTGGGGAGCACTGAAAAAACTCCCGTGAAACACCCCCCCCCCCCAGCAGACTGTAGCTTTCTCTCACTTTATTATGGGGTAAATTTGCAATTTTGCTTGTAGAAAACTAAGACAACTGTACTTTTAAATCCCATAATATGCTATTTTATATGCTATTTTATGGTTTGTGCATTTTATGTTGTAAAACTAGCAAAATAGGTTTAGGTTTGATATGAAAGTTAGTGTTGCATATACAAAGCCTGGACAAGTTTTTCCCTGTGGTTCAAAACTTTTAGAAATTTTACACTTCTAAGCTGGTGGGTATTATATTGTTTTAAACAGGCCAGTTCCAGTGACATAAGCTGCTTCTGTCAAAGTCAAGGGCTCATTTCCCTCTGGTATTGTGCATGGATATGAAAAGAATAACACAAAACATGTTGGGGATGTCTTAGTAACATTGTGTTGGTCTTAAAGGTGCCACTTAAACTTTGTTCTATTGTCAAGCACCTGTTGAAGTTGCTTGTTACTTTTAAAGTGCTGCCCTCTTGTGGTGTGAGTTGCTTATTACTGTTAAAGTGCTGCCCCCTTCTGGCATAATTTGCAACACACAGCCAAATATGAAACAATTATCTATGCCAGGGGTGTCGATCTCATTTGTTATGAGGGCTGGATCTGACATAAATGAGACCTTGTTGGGCCGGGCCATGTGTGTCATAAAATATAATGCCAGGTAGTGGAGATATAAACTTTATAAAGGACACAAAGGGTTTTTTTTGCTTAAAATAAAAACATGTTTAAAACATTAGCACTCTTGCAATATTTTGCTTATTTAACAGTGTCTGATAATGCTCTGAAATATTGCATCAAAATGTCTGTGCTGTTGCAATCTTGAGTATGCTGTTCAGGTTTGTATCTAAGCTGCAAACCTACAATGATGCAGCAGCAGCAGAACTGTCGGCCTGATAGAAGCCCTCCAGGGGCCTGATCCGGCCCCCGGGCCGCATTTTTGACACCCCAATCTATGCTTTCTTATTGAACATCTCTTCAGGGATAGGGACATGCCATTCAGGCATGGATAGTACACTGATGCAGTACAATGTTTTTGCCTTCATTATCTCAAGCTGTTTTGACAAAATTTTAGTAACACAGTTTTTCACTTAAGAAGAAATCCCTTTGTGCAATCCAGTTCTCCTTGCATAAAGCCCAGCATAAAATGTGAAGTGTTATTTAAAATGAGCTGTGTGCTTTGCCAGTTACATATAAATATTCGGCATTTTTGCTACTCACTCCAGAATCAACGTGCCACTGGAACTGGACTGTATCTGTTTGTGACTACAGTGTGAATCCGCTTGCTTCAAGTATGAACTGGCTACCTTGGAATATATATATATTGCAATGATACTCAGGTCCTTGGGAGCCAATGTGGCACCTGCCCCACGGTTCAGAATAGTGAACAAGACTTCTGGTTGGCAGTTGGTTCCCAGTTTGAAATGGCCACCAGAGAAATAGGTAAGCTGTGAGCCTCTCCAAGATGCAAGACTTATTGCAGGGATGGAAGTAAATGCCACTCTTGTGGTTGATGATAATTACAAATGTGGCTGCCCATGAGCCACAGAGTGAGTACCACTGATATACTGCGTATTAGTATACCCTGTTGAGGTGCACATTGGAGAACCAATCCAGTGTAGCAGCAGCAAGAGAGCCAATGTTGTATAGAGGCTAGAGCACTGATTCTTAACAAGGGCCATATACAAATCTTGGAAGGCATTTGCGGTTTAGGCAGCCCCTTCTCCCCACTTACAGTGGCTTTCAGCAGCAAGCAGAGGAGAGTTCTCATATAATTCCACATCATAGATTTCTTCTGCAGGCTCTTAAAAACCTGGCATGCAGCAAATAGGAACCAAATCTAACAGTAAAGAGTCGGCAGATGGCTATCAGGAACAAGGGTCATTGAGTGTATCCTATGCATATATCATAATATACCTGCACAATAAACTTGCCTTGTCAATTGTGCTGTTTTGAACTTCCATGTGTTTTTTTTACTTGTTATGAGTCTGTTCACCACCTCATGTCCTCCCAGTGCCGTCTCCTTGTTGAGCTCTCCCTTTGATCTGTGCTTTGGCTTCTGCACGGGCCCACTGTTTTTTGGTGGCAGCTCCAGCATTATGCAGTGCTCTCCCCAAGGATGAGTGCAGAGACCCTCTATGTTGTCCACTCTCCATAAGAAATGTAAGGCTGCCATTTTGAGGCAGGCATTTCCAGTTAATTCCTTAAATGAGGTATTGTTTCGACGGATATTTAGCTGAGGTGTTCTTTTTCTTGATTTTAATAATCTGTTCCTGTGGTTCAGGTTTTCGTCAGCCACTTTGAATCACTATAGTTGGTAGAAATGTGGTATATAAATCTTTTAATAAAAATGGGGGAGCATTAAATGTTGTGTGTTTGGGGGGCAGTAGTAGATTAAAGGTTAAGGACCACTGGGTTAGTATTAAACTAGGACACCTGGGTTTAAATCCTTGCCTAGGTGCAAAGCTCATTGGGTCACCCTGGGCCAGTTACACTCCCTCTCTAACTTAACTTCATAGGGCTGTTGTAAAGATGAAATAGGAGAGGAGAACAATCTATGCCTCCTTGAGCGCCTTAGGGCAATGGAATGGTAAAAGTGCTTGGATGGACAGTGTTGTTGCACTTAGATGTGAGAGGCCTTCAGCCAGCTGCTTTTCTCAATCTAGCCTACTCCACAGGGTTGTTGTGAGGGTAAACTAGGATTCAATGTACACCCCCTCCCTGTTCTTTGGAAGAAAGTGGAACACCAAAAGTGTGCATTGTCAATTATTTGTTCACATCTTAACATTAGTTCCTTTTCTCTGCACTTAGTAAGAATGCTACCACTTAATATCCATGAAATCTTTTCTTTCCAGGTCCTGTTTGTACCAATGATTCTGGGGATGATGCTTGTGCCTTATGAATCTGTGACATCCGGCTGATATTAGAAGACGAACTCATTCCACATCCTGTTTGTCCCAATGAAACTGTCCCAAAATGGGTAGGTGAGTATCTGAATACTGACTAGATTAAAGCAATAACCCAATAATTTGATGAGGATCAAACAACCTTTTAAAGTCTGCTTGACTTTAAATCTCAGTAGCCAAACAGACACTTTCTTTGTTGCCCTTATCAATACTTGCGTAAATGGGAAGATCAGTGGTTCATGTTGTTGATAAGTTAACAGCTATAAATTGCTTTATAACAGAGTGCTGAGGTACACAGAAGTAAATTACTATGAATAAATACAGAAGGCGTTGAAATTGCATAACTTCTGTTCAGTGACATGTTTCACAATACAGTTGGATTTGATCCCACAGGGCCTCTTCTGTCAGTGGAAGGAAAGAGTTATCGTTAGCAGAACAGATCTGATTTTATTGTGAAAAATAGTTTTCAATGACAGTATTAATAGTGGTTTTGGATGTAGTTCAGATAAGTGGTATTGGTGCATAGTTAATAATTACAGTAATCATAAAGGCATTTATATAGTATTTCACTTATAATCTCAATAACCTATAAACAGTGTGGAGGTAATTATATTGCAGACAGGGGACTGAAGATAGCAGTTTGCCTATGGCCAATTTATATGTATGTGTGTATATGTATATATACACACACACATGCACGTGGGGGACACACAAAGGCTTGCAGGGCACATCTCCCCCCCCCCCGGTACGCTATTTCTCTTCCCTCTTTCCTGTATAGCCTCTTCTCTTTTCCTGCTTCCTTCTCTCCTACCTACCTACCAGCCTACCTGCCTTTATTTGCCCCCTGACTTCAGCTTTGCCTGGCAGTCTCTCAATGGGAAAACTCTGTTTGGTGCCAGGCCAGGTTACGCAGTGGGGAACCTGCAAGATCTGATGGGGGGAACCTTATTTTCCCCTGTACCTAGGGTTGCCGGGTCTTCCACTATGGTGGGAGAACTCCTGCCGGCACCCTATGCTAAACAAAAAAATCACTGTTGGCCAAGTGGCATTACATCACTTCCAGGGGAAATCCAGAAGTGACATCAAGCCACTCTGGGAATTGTCAAAAATTTGTCTGGTTTTATGCCACACTGGCTTTCATGGGGTGGCTGCTGTTGAACAATAGCAAGCAGCTGGACCTGCATGAATTATTCAAGTTGGATGGTACCGAGTAGCCAGTGGTGGGTCTGACCTGAATGAGTCTTCCCTCAAAGGCCAGAATAGCCCTGGAAAGGGCCCTGCCCTTCCCCCTGCCTTTTACCAGCAAAAATAAAGGCTTGACGGCTGGCAATACAGTTGTGGTTGCCTAGCAACAACCACTAAGAGGGGAATTTGTTTCTTAGTGTGCTGCTTTTATTATTGGAAAGGAGTTTAAAACCCCCCCCCATTTTTTTTTTAAGTTTCAGGTTTTTCTACAAAGCTGGAACTTTTCTCAGGTTTATAGAAAGCCTTGTCTTGCTTGTCTCTGGATTTAAGTGTTCATAGGTGCGGCCATGTTGAGAATTAGATATATTGACAAGTCGGAACCCGCAAGGAACTTGCGGGGAGCAGGTGTCCCCTCACCATTGCTCCCTTTCCTCTTCCTCCTTCTCTGTCAATGTTCCCCCTCTCTATTTCTGACCCCACCCCTTCTGTCAGTCTTCCCATCCTCTTTCTCCCCTCACCCCAGCTTCTCTGGCAATCTTCTCTCACTCGCCTTCTCCCCTCACCCCTTGTATGTCCATCTCTCCCCCTCTTTCTCCCCCCGACCCCTTCTCAAACGATCTCCCCTACTTCCCTTTCTTTTCAGACAAGCCCCCGTCTTCTTTCTCCCCACTGTTGGAGTCGCAGCAGTAGGGCCACTGGGAGCTGCAGCATCTGCTATGTACTCTGCAGCTACACAGACAAATACTGAGCTGGGGTGGGGATTTAGACACACACCCCCAATGTATTTTTTAAAGTTTTAAGATTTTTCCACAAACCTCGGGAGGGGTCCCCCCAAGTGTGGAGAGGAATCTCCTTTCTGTCAGTGTGATCCGGATCCATAGATGTAGATATCTGCAGATGGGCCCACACATTTGGCTATTAAAATATATAATTACACATAAGCAAAGAAAAAAATACCAGTGTT